TCGGCACGCAGACCTGCTGATCTTGTCTACAAAGTGCACACAAAGGAGCCTGCTCCTTGTATCCTTTGTATACGAACGGAATTGTTCACGTCTGTGGTATCAACAGGTCTAGCTATAACCCTTACTTTATGACTTTTTAATTTTCTGAAAAAATAGCAAGAATGCCCCCTATTTCCCCGATGAGGCCAGGAGACGGAGTAGCAGGTTGTATTTTTTCCCCAGAAAAATCAACACTCGGGTGGCAAGTGTTACATTCAGGTTTTCCAGCAGGCAAAAATAGCATCCTCTGTTCATTATTCTTTTTAAAAGACCATGGAGAGATTTTTTCTTTTTTTTTTGGGCCAGGAAAAACTGCACTTAAGACCATCTGCCACAAGAAAGTTTCAGACAAGAACTATACACTTTGTAAAAAAATACAAATCTTACCTATTGATGAATGAAAAGATGTGCAGGTGTCTAATCAGGTTAATCTGTGTAAGCTCTGTGCTCACTGACCCTGCTGAAGGTACAACACAAACCCAGCTCACCTGCAGTCATTAACTGTGCAGATTCCGGCCAAAACATGGTATTACAGTCAAATAAAAATAGACCCTGGTCCTCTTCTGCCTCTGTTTACACAAAAAGTAGTGAGCAAAAGCCAAATGGGTGTTCCTCTAGATTGCCACCCCAATTTTGAGGCTCTTGTACCGCTGCTGATGGACAGCAAAGACTGTTTGCATGCTTCAGGTTCACGTGCAGGGAAACCTGAAACATGCCTTGAAATTTGTCAAGAATTCTGAGAAATTCACCACCTGATCTTAAGCCATTTAAATTCCTGTGTTAGGAAGCTGGTTTCTGTGGGGTCTCTAGACACTGATGAATGACACGGTCTTTGAGAAGGTGACTCAGAGGAGGAACTAAAAACACCCCAAAGACTAAAAACTTACTTGTGTATTTTCCATCTCTTCCAGGGGGTGATTATCTCAGCCTGAAAACCAGAAGGGAAAAAAGCCCACAAATGAAATCATAGAATGTATCAAGTAAGGTATTTCCAAGAGGGAGAGCAATAACATGGTAGAAGGCACTGGTCAGATACAGTTCATGGTTCTGCTCGCCCACATCTCAGACAGCGGAACCAGAATCACAGAATCCCAGGGTGGAAGGGACCTCGAGGATCAGCTGGTCCAACCTTCCTTGGCAAAGGCCAGCCTAGACAAGGTGGCCCAGCACCCTGTCCAGCTGAATCTTAAAAGTGTCCACTGTTGGGGGATCCACCACTGCCCTGGGGAGATTATTCCAGCGGCTGATTGTTCTCGTGGTGAAACATGTTCCTCTTGTGTCCAACTGGAATGTCCCCAGCAGTAACTCGTGCCCACTCGCCCTTGGCTTTTCCACGGGACTCCTTGTAACAAGGGAGTCTCCCTCTTCTTTGCAGCCCCCCTTGAGATGCTGGAAGCAGAAGAGCTGCCCAGGCTGGCACCAGAGGATCTGTCTCTGCTGAGCTCAGGGACTGCCGGCGGGACTGACAAGCTGAGAGCGGTGTCTGTGGGGCCAGTCACTGCCGAGAGCAGCGCCAGTCCCAGTCCCTCACCCTCACCCTGAGAATCAGCGCTGGCTAACGGGTGCGGGGTTTGGATCCCAGTCCACACTCCCGGGTTCTGTTTCTCTCGCTCAGCCAAGAGACAAGTCCCTGCACCCCTGTGATCCTGGGAAATGGAGATGGGTGTGCTCTTCTTGGTACTCGGGAAGAAGTCACCCTGACTATTAACCAAGTAGCATCTGAAATCATAGCCACCTCCTCCTCTGAGAGGCAAAGGTGCCGATGGTATTTAATTGCACTGGTGCTTAATTAACATACAATAGTGCTATGACAATTGCAAAGTATCTTATTCAGCTGAAAAGGCACAAATGTTAAGCAAGCAGTACAGAATGACAACTGAAATTACAGTCTGGGGAGAAATCTCTGGTCAAATCTAGGAGAAAAATTTTTCCCTGACCAAATAAGGATGTTTGAAAACACTGAAGCCACACATATACAAAGTTAACCTACAGCTGTCAAAGAAGATCAAAAAATCCTGCTGTATTTTCCTGAAAAAAAAGAACTCTCTCTCATGAAAGAAAGATTACTGCACTAGAGAGTGAAAAAGAATTGGGCTGATCTCTGATTTCAGGGTTTGGACCATCAGATAAATTTCCTCTAACAGCACTCAGTTACAGTTGCTCAGCTACCATACTTTGAAAGAGCTGCACGGGTATTTAGCCACATACCTCCCATTAAAGCTAAATCATCTTAAATAAAAGAGTTGTTGTGTGTCTAACTACCCATGGAGCTCCTTGAGAAATTTTAAGAGACTACATTGACATTATGTTCTCTTCTGTTCCATGAAGCAGTGGAGGGCATAATCGCCCTTCTCAAGCAACATTGCTTGCAAACTGAGTTTTCATACATTGCATTAGTGGCATTCGGTACTGGCAGAGGCCTTACCCATTTAAAAAACAATCTTCACACTGCTACAGAGGTATCTTGTTTCTATCAGTGTCATTTTTCTGGTCTTGATTTACATCCAAACCCATCAGCTGTTATCCAATAATGCACATACTCTGTCCTGTACTTCTAAAAGGTGCTCTAGGGCTAGCTGATGCTATGTTACCATTTGTGATAATGATTTGATGTCTTCCTGTAGGGCTGTCATACTCTCTGCACTTTTGTTAATGGATTTTTCTAATTCTCTTGGCACATTTGCAATAGCCCTTTCTAGTTTTGCAACCCCCAACCATGGGATAAAAGCTGTTACACACAGGTGGAACTTAATGCCACATTCTGTCGCAAGGCTGTGACACTTTTTCCTGTAGATATCAGTAGTTAGGAGCTAAAGAGACAGAAGAGATACTGGTTCTAACCTGTGTGGATGGTATTAATGCACTTAGAATCCACTTTTTGTCTCAGGTTGAGGGTAAATCCTCAAATGCTGTTTCTCCATCTAGCCAATATTGCCCTGGTAGTTGTGTCAATGGGTAGTATAAACTTCAAAAAAATCTGAAGCGTGTAAATTATTTCCCGTAAAAGTGTTGGCATGTGCCGGATTTGGTTGTTGAGGTAAACCAGTAAGGTTCAGACCCAGGGTAGATGACTCAGAGCCATCAGGATCCTAGAGGCCTGTAGTGGCAATGAAAATTGTGTTGTTATCTTTAGCTTGACTGTGGCTTCCTGCAGAATACCAAATTAATCTCTCTGGGAATATCCACATAATCTCGGGAGTCTGCAGGGCCTGATAAACTCCATTCAGGAACAAATCTACAGCTTTAGAAGAGGTTTTATGTAAAGGCTTCTGGAGACTCTCCCTTTCATGCTCAGAGGATGCGGTATATAGTAAGGTTTTGGAAGAATCTGTGGAGTAGTGCCAATTGCCTTTAGGCATAGGAACATTCCAGGCATAAGACTCTCCTTTTCACCCATATGATCCTAAGATGTGAATTGTCCATTTCCATTCATTCTATTGCTCCTAATATTATTATTTTTTATTCATTTGCATTCTATTAATTTTAATATATGCTCATTTCCAGTTCCCAGCCCCCATAGAGTGAGTAAGCTTGTCAGTAGGTTTGCTCTCCAAGCATACCCGACGTCTCCTTTCAGACTAGTGACAAAGCCTTCTTGGCGGAAAGGCGGGATCCTTCCTTTCTTCAGTGAAAATTCATAATGTAGATGCCCATCCTTGTGCCACTGAGAGTTTGATGGGACAGATACCCAGGAGACTTGATTTCTGGGAGAGGATGGGCTTTTAGCGCGTATCCAACAGTTGGGCTTGTTTGCCTCTGCTGCTGTGGTTTGGAATGTGGCTATGGCCGAATTAAGGCATCAGTATGTATAACCCATATTCTACCACAGGTTTATAAGCAAAGCTACCAAATTAAAACCTAGGCTTCCAAATCACTATTAACAGGGAAAAGAGACAGACACAAATAGCAAAAATAACTATCCCTTGGATACAGAGGACAGCACTGAAATCAAAAGGTTTTCCTGACTCCAGAAACCCAAAAGGCGTTTAAAGATCTTAACCAAGCAGTCGTGGATGCTTCCTCGTTATCCTTGCCAGATGACAAGCCTTTTACATTATATTTACATGAGGAGAAAGGAATAGCCAGTTGGTGCAGAAACGTCTGCAAGCTGTACCGTATACTCAGCAGAACCAGAGTTGGTAATTCAAGACATGATTTCATGTGCAAGGGCTGTTGCAGCAGCAGCTGTGATGATTGAGGAAGGAAGAAGTACTGTCCTGGGGCACTTGCTAACGTTGCTGGTTCATTTCTTCCTTCTTAGTCCTCCTCTCCAGTGCTCAAGCAGCTGTAGACATGCCAGAGTTGGGAAGTACATGGGTTTCTGGCAATAAATGCTCATTGGCTTCCTTGACTGAACTTTCCAGAAATGCAGCAAGATACCCTCAGACACCCCGAGATGTCCCCTCCCTTCGCTGGCCCCGCGCTGTGGGCAGCCGAGCGCCACACAGCACAGCCCGCTGCCTCTGCCCCGGGCTGCCTTGCCCTGGGTGCTGCTGGCAGGGGGCACAGCGGCTGGTGACAGCCTGGGGGGGACAGGAGGGACAGCACAGCCCCAGGGGGTGGCAGGGGGGACACCGGGCGGTGACAGGAGGGACACCGGGCAGGGACAGGAGGGACACCGGGCACGGACAGGAGGGACACCGGGCAGGGACAGGAGGGACACCGGGCGGTGACAGGAGGGACACCGGGCACGGACAGGAGGGACACCAGGCTGGGACAGGAGGGACACCGGGCGGTGACAGGAGGGACACCGGGCACGGACAGGAGGGACACCGGGCAGGGACAGGCCGGGCGGTGACAGGACACAGGCCGTTTGTCATCACGCATGGGGTCACAATGCGCGGGGGTGTGCGGTGTGCCGCGGCACCGCGCAGGGACGCACTCGTGGCCGTCCGTGCCGGTGGCGTCTGGGCAGCCCCTCACAGAACGCTGAGGCAGGGGCGCCCGAGTCGCCACAGCGAGCGGTGGGGCCTGGGAGCGCTGCGTGTCAGCCCGGGAGCGGCGGCCGAGCCGGGGCCGTGGGGGCCTCTCCCCACCGTCCGCCCGCTTGCCTGGGCTGCGAGGAGGAGCCCGGCGGGCGCTGCCGCTGCAGCCCAGCTCGGTCGCTGGGGGCCGCAGGCTGGAGTCGGTGCAGAGGTGGGGGCCAGGGAATTGCCGTCTGCCTGAGGCCCCGGGGCAGGAGTGCCGCGGGCTCTGAGCGCTGTCAGCCCACTCGAGCTCGGCCCGCGCTGCTGGCCCCGGCCCCCTCGGTGCGCCCGTCCCTGTGCCGCCGCGGGCCCTGACCCGCAGGCCACAGCACTGTCACCGAGCGGGCATCGCCTGGCCCCAGCCATGGCGTGCATCCATTACAAGTTCGCCAGCAAGCTGCACTACGATGCGCTCACCTTCAGCGGCCCCCACATCTCCCTGCGCGACCTCAGGCGCCAGATCATGGCCCGCGAGAAGCTGAAGGCGGCCAACTGCCACCTGCAGATCAGCAACGCCCAGAGCAAAGAAGGTGCGTGGGGGTGGCGGGCGCGGGGCCTTGGGGACAGCCCGGCTGGCGGCCTGGCAGAAATCCGTGTTTCACAAGCCTTGAGTTTTTCTAGTAGAAGTGAATGGAATTGTCGGGAGTTTTGGGAAACTGTTTAATGTGCTGGGAGGGCTTTGCTGCAGAAGGGTCTCTGAGTGTTGTCTTCAGCTGCTCATGTACTTTCAGCTTCACAAGTGCTAGCAGGTCGAATGGCCAGCTGGCTGCCGTCACTCCTGTAACGGTCGGGTCTGTGTAAGACAGAGAGTTAGAACCAGAATGTTGGATGGTAATAAACTGTGATGGAGCCTGATTATAATCACCAGAAGAAAAAGTATTTTGAAATAGGCAGCGTGCAGACTCTGTTATAGCAGGTGAAGAACAGAAAGCAAAGTTTTTGAAGAAAAATTTATGCTTATAAATCTGTTACCCCCTAAAGTGTTGCTCGGATAGCCATAATACCAGTTTTACGAAGCCTGTTGCTTTGGTTTCATACATTATGAGAATCCAGTGAAGAAAAAGTATCAGCTTCACTAGGTTCTGTTAGATGTGGTGTTGCCCCAAGGTGAAATTAAAGAAGGAATATCTTTCATACTTCAAAGACCATCACTCTTATTTAACAGTGACAAGATCTGCCTCTGGGTAGGTCGTGTTGCACTTTGACCTTTGTAAAATGAGTACAGTACAAAATTCTAAACTTGGTATATCAGTGCCACAGGTGTTTATTGAAGCTTTTGTAAGGGTGCTTTCCAGGTGAAGATGCAAAAATCCCCCAGTGTTTTTCAGAGCAAAGCTAGAGAATACATTTCAGTGTAATATATATGTATGCCAAATATCTGTTTTATATGCATAACTGTGAATTTCAGTTTTTATGAATCAGATGTAGATGCTTAAGCTCACCTTCAGAGGGTAAAGGAAAAAGCGAGACCAGAATATTCTGCCTAAATGGGGTGTTTGGAATTCTTGCAATGTGGGCACAAATTATTAGGGTTTTACCACTTTGTCCGCACAGGAGTCCTGAGTAAATGTTGAAACGATGCTGGAAAGAGCAAAGTGAACGTTGAGTGAAGATGGCCTACTTGTTCAGATTTTTCTGAGTACTCTAACCTTTACAGTTCGGTAGCTGTTACTTTTCATAATGGAAATCTAGTAATAGAAGAAATGCTAATATAAGCTAAAAGTAAACAGGATTTTAAGTATCAGTGGAAAAAAAATGAAAGGATGGACTCTTTTTAAGATGCTGGAAATGCAAAATGGATGGTTAGGGCCCATTTTAAAAAGGGGAAGGGGATGGGGGTGTGTCCTCTTCCATGCTCACTATAGAGACATATTCTAAACAGGTAGAATTCCCTTCGAAAAGCCTATACTCGAGCATGATGCATTTAAACTTGCCTCCTTTTCAATGGATGAGAATTTCATGGCCTGTCTTTTATAATAGATGTTCTCGCGATATTGTGGAAGAACTGCAGACTCCAGAACTCAGGTTTCTTGAGTACTCTTTCCTGCCCTGTAACATTCTGACTCAAAACACTTGCTTATCAGGCAAAATACAAAAAAACAAAACAAAACAAAAAAACAAACAAAAAAAACAAACAAACAAAAAAAAAAACAAAAAAAAAAAAAAAAAACAAAACCAACAACAACAACAAAAAAAAAAAGCAAAAATCCAAAAATGGACTCTGAGCTGGTCTTAGATTAATAGTTTTAAGGAAGAATACTGCTCTTATAAGACTGTGTCTTGGGCTCAGAACTTGCTTGCGTCCAGTGCTGCAGCATGCACTTGACTGTTTTAGTAATGTCACAATGTGATGTCTTCAGAGCAGACTCATGCTAACTTTGAATGACATCATTTGGCCTCACAGCTGATGTCTGTCGGTCTGTCTGTCTGCTGGAATGCCTTCAACACTGCAAACAACTTAGCATTCTAGAGAAGACATTTAAGCAACTTTTAAACCTTGCCCTTCACTGTGCCATTTTGCATGGCAGTGCTAGTAGGGGGGGATTACTTTGGTCCCACCTCAGAGTGCAGTGAGTTCTTGGGCTGCCATGCAGCATCATTGGGTAGAGCTTTCAGAAAGGGTATGGAGTTCCCCGTTTCCCTGGTTGAATGGAGGGTAAGTCATATAGCCATTCACAAAATATGGTGTTAGGGTGGAGCTCAGGCACTGCCTGTCTGGGAGTTGGCTGCTCTGACTCTGTCACCAGCAGGTCTGGGACCTCTCCGGGGTGTGCTGTCGGCTGGGGTAATGTCCCTTAAAGGCTCTTAGGGCAGGCTCAGGTTGGCTCATTACCGCGTTGTCTCCAGCACTGCTTTTGCTTTCCCAGTGACACACTTGGCAGCAAGCGCTGCGAAGAAGACATTAAGGCTTCGAGCGGTCTGTATAATCAGATTAAGGATTGAAAGTTTTTTAAATTATTAAATATTAAAATAGTAAAGATTTCATTGACTCCTCCTTTCAAAGCAATATAGGGGCTCTTTTGGAGCACACTACTGTATAATAATAATGCAAATGAAAGTTCCATGAATTGTTTGGCCCACAGAACTAGCTGATTCAAGAAATGATGATATACCAGGTGGAGGTGAGATCATTGATAGCTATTCTGGTGGAAGCTGAAAACCCAGAAAGAGTAGTCCAATCTATTACTCAGGGTGTTTCGAGGCAGTGCTTTCAGTGCCTGCTACATAGACGATTTGTTTGTCTCAATGTGTGCAAGTGGGGTTGATTAGAAGAGAATTAAAAAATCACATGATGACAAAGCACATTTTTAAGTGCCAGGAGAAATGTGTTCTTGAGAGTTACCCCATTTTCTGGTAGAGACAGTCTGGCACGTTAGTAGTCATTTTCACCTCTTCCTCTGTACGTCCTTCCCCCAGCAGCATAATAGCTGGTTAGCAAGGCATCTAAGCCTAACACAGGCTTTTCTTTGTCGTTTCACATACAAGCTTGCCTTCTGATGACTTCTGTTCTGATGAGCTTCCGTACTTTATCTGGGTGAAAATACTTCTCTAGATGGGGCTCAGAGAGATGCTTTGGCAGTGCTGTCAGCCTCAGAATGGTGGATTTTGAGTCAGACCACCACAGCAGTGGCTCAGAGCATCCATGCTTTAGCTAAGTGTCTGTTCTTTTGCGGAGCGAGCTAGTCAGGCCTTAGAATCCAGTTTATGGAGGTGAGACTTTGCTGTGGTTTGTTTTTCTCCAAAGATCGACTGGTTTTGTCTAAGGGAGGCAAAAGTAATTTAAGCTAGAGCAGGAAAGAACCTCATGCATTCGCAGAGTCTCCTTTAGTGGCCTTTGAGACCATTTTGCTGTTGGCTTTCAAACTATTTTTTAAAATGAAAAAGATTTTGCTGCTTGTGTTTGATTATCAAGCCTGAAGATTTCTTGAAAGCCACTGTTAGTGCATTGAGATGATAAATGTGCGATGTTACATATAAAATTTTGCTTTTCTATCTGTAAAGGGATTCTCTGAAGTGCTATGAAATTACATATTCATATACATTCTTACAAATTGACTAATGTTTTTTTTTTTCTGTATTGATGTTGTTTTCAGAATACACGGACGATAATGCCCTGATTCCTAAGAACTCATCGGTAATTGTTAGAAGAATCCCTGCTGGAGGAGTTAAAGCTACCAGCAAAACATGTGTTAGGTAAGTCCCCATAAAGCACTGTATTCGTTGTGAGGGGTTTCAGTATGTCAACTTCGTCTATGGATATTAGTTTACAGAGGCATTCAGATTGTATCCTTCTTGTGAAAGCTGCTGTTAATCTTTGTTGTCATGGGGTAGATTTTAATGTATCAGTCCCAAAGTATAATTAAGTTTTTAGTCCTGCCGGGACGTGGAGCTCAAAATCCAACAACAGTGACTTTCAAGATGATTCTGTTGGGCTTGTTCTTGGGGTTGAATTTTCTGAGAGCCGAGTTGTAGATCCCGTTTCCTCTATGTGTGGAGATTCCTTATTATGTGTGTTCGCTTTTATTGCTTTTATAGTAAAGGCAGATATGCACTGTAGTGTAAACCCGTAATCAGAAGATTCTCAGTGTTTGTCTATTTCTTGCACTTGGGGGAAGGGGGGTGCGGAGGGGAGGCGGATAAGGCAGGTATTCTTACACCTGAATTCCAGGGGTTTTGCATACTAGCTATAGAGGAGGGACCGAGGGTCACCATCTGGTGAACCATGCAAACAAGAAGTTTCATTCATAAGTGAGTCCTGTTAGTTTTCTAAAGACAATGTCCATTTTGGGCAAGAGAAAAAGAACAATATCCTGAAGTGTATTGCCTTTTGTGTGAGTACGATAAAGAAATGGTTAATCCTTTCCAAACTTGAAACTCAGCAGTTTAGCACATTACCAAATACTACTAGTTATCTTTCTAAGTCTGTTTTTACCCCAAGCTGATATCTCTGCTTCAGGCTTTAATCCCTTATTCCTAAAATGTACAGACTTTTAATAAATACCGGGTGTATTGGTTAAAATTACAGCTAATCAAATGCAGTCCCAACCACAGGATGATTGCTGTCATTTAGGCATTCATACAGGCCAGTTCTGTACCAGCTGCATTAGCACTCTTTGAATGCTCATGTTTACCAGCCTTCTCAAAGAGATGCCAATCCACCCCAGTTGGTAGATATTACTCGCTTGTGGGTTTGCCATGCCTTTCTCATGTTGGTTCTCAAGAAATAAAGTATACTGATGAGCTACAGTGTGTCTCCAACAAGCAGCACAAGCGGCATCCTGGTACCCGTGAAGCATTTGCCAGCATAACCCCCTGAATTTACGAGGCTCTGCATGTAACTTTGGGCATATTACCGCAGTAGTTGTTGCGGTGCTTTCAGGTACTACCCAGTAATTCTGGACGCCACAGCACTGTGCTTATAAACATGACCTTGTTTTGGGGGTTAGTTTAAATACGCTTGCTTAGTGCTGTCTGGTCAATGCATCCTCCGTTTCTGGTTGGATGGCACCTTCTCCTGGTGGTGTAATGCTGCCCTAAAATGAGGGGATAGATGCTGTTAGCATCAAAGATCAAATCGCTACCGGTATGTGGGGATAAAGAAAGAACGGGCCTGCTGTTCTTCCACTGAAAATTAACCAGGCCAATTAGCTTTCTGTTCCTTCAGCTGGAAACATTGCAGAAACAACTGGTAGAGTGGTGAATGTTTGGGAATGATGAATGTGTGCTGGGATGGTGGAGGGGATGGTGGATTCAAAAATGCATTACTCACCTTGTAGTGTGTTCTTCAAGGTAAACGGCTGAAGAAACCCTTGTGTGGTAATTTGAAGTATTTCCTTGTCCTTCCTCATCTTCAGGAGGTACCTGGCTGTGCTTGCAAGGCTGGTGGTGCTCCAGCAGTGCCAGGAAGCATGAGCCTTTCTATTTGTACCTAAATTCCAAAGCAGCCTTTGAATTGCCTCTGCTCATGGGACACTTTGGAGGATGAGTGGATTGTTTGCTAACTCTCTCAGTGGTTACGTGTCTGATTAATGATGAGTAGCGTGCAGATACAGATCGATGAGCATGTGGAATCTTGTCAAGTTTTCAAATGTTATGAAGATTAGCTAAAGTTCTGTAGCATTTAGTCAATATAGCATATGTAGCCCATTTAGTATTTTGGCCCTTTTATGGCTATGTGTGGTAGATAACTGCACACAGTGCTTGGGCTTCCACAAAGAAACAGTGTTCTAAAGACCGTGCTGCTGACATTTTTGTTATTTCATTGTCAGATGACTGATTTTTTTCACTTAAGTGACCTTGCACTTTGAAGTGTCTGGACTATCAATCGCTGTTCTTTCTTAGAAACTAAAGTACTGTATCTGGTACCTATTTATAAGAGTAGGGATACACAGATTGGCTAGAGTTACCTTCCTATTTTGATGGTTGATTATCGAATAACACAAAACTGTGATACAGACTTCATCTTTTTGATACTTATGTAGCAGAGACAAAATAGCTGAGGACTTGCTCTTGCACCGTTGTGTCCTGTCTCTGTAAGTCTGAGGGTAATTGGTGACAAAGTAAAAGTGGGATACTGAGGATTTCTTTTTCATTGCACTGAATGTACCAAGAGAGAACAGTTTACATATACGAATAAATTTCCACATTCACCAGACTATCAGAACAGAGTGTTTTGATGTTCAGGTTTTTAAATGTGTTTCCACTGATTTATGCTGGGTACAAGTGCCTTATTTGAAGTTCTGATCACCTTTATTTCTTCTTCTAGGAGTCGAACTGAGCCAGTGAGTGGAACATCAAGAGCAGTATGTAAAAACACAATCTCTGACTTTTTTCTACACGCTGCACTTAATTCTAAACAATGTAGCTTTGTATTAATTTTCCAAACATAAACTTAACATATTTTCCAGTAAAACTTAGTAGATGTTGTAAAGACAATGTATTTGATTCAGCACAGTAAAAACCGAGTAATGCCACCATTGGCACAGTTCTAATGTGAATATTGGTATTTGCGGCTAGTTACACAATGCATTTCATAAGGAATGCACTAGAATATTTCCTTTATGACAATGTGTTGTACAGATAATGGATGATTGGTTTTAGGTCACGTAGGTTCAAGGTTTGCACAATTGAACATGGCGTCATGTTCTACATCTGTCTTCCGTGTTGCCGTGTGCATTTTGTTTCTTGCAATTAAAATTGTTTGGAGTGGGTTTTTTCGCCATTTTCACATTGCATCACTTAGATTTTGTTTTTAAATACTTTCTTTGCCTAATGATTTTGGAAAATGTTATCAAAACCCACTGAGAAACCATTGTTGTTAAACTCGGTACTGTTTCTTTGTTTTGACTCGGGGGTGCAAGCATATACTAAAACCAACATATCCCATACGTTTTGAGGACAGTTCTGTGCAGCTAAATGATTCCCTTTTGTGTCCTGAAATACTTGGGTATTTGTTCCCAGAACTGTATAGCTGAAGCAGTACTGTTTGGGCCCCTCGGAGTGCATAAATGGCTCTCATAGACTGCCGCGAATGTAAATATCCTTGCTACCCAAAGTGGTATTCTAAAGTTCTGCACTTGGCCTTTCCGCTTGATCAGATGAAGCAGTTTAGTTTAATAGTTTGTCTGCAAATGAAAATATCTAAACCCCAGTGTACAAATTTTTGCACAGGGTTAGAGCCTGGCACTTTTGCGGGTAGAATCCCTGTCCTTTTTCTTAACTTCTGCCTGCAGTACATTCTTGGATCTGGGTGACTTCAGGGTTGGACGCTGCTTTAATTTCCTGAAGGTTAAACTTTTCTTTAGTATATCACCACTTTGCATTTACATTTGGAAAAGGGGCAGCATTTTTGTTCAGGTTTGAAAATACTGTCACTGTGTTACTAAACCAGAAGTAAGTAACACAAGGAAATACTTGACTGGTAATGGTCTAGATCTTGATTGGCCCCTTGGGTTAAATCCTGTGTGTAACAACGCATTTCAAAATAGTCTTTGCAGTATAAAAACTACTGCGGGATGTTTTTTATTTTTCATCTTTAAGTATAACTGCTTTTTCATCACTAGAATGGCGGGAGGCATTACATTAACCCTGGAACACTGGATCTGATCACTTGAAAAGCTATTAGGATAACTTCATGTAGAAATTCATGAACTCTGGGTCTGTGTTCTGTGAAGAATACAGCCTTTGATTCTTGTGGAATGGCATACAATCAAAATTGAAAACTTTTTGTACGTAGGCCTAGAACACTACTTCGAAATCTGACATCTGTAATTCTCTCAACGACTGGTTCAGATTCCTTTTAGGACATGAATGCCTCCCATTCTGAATTTGAGTCACTTTAACTGGCCTAGTGACCCTTGTAGTCATGTAATGCATTTACGTGAACCATGTTTATAGTATCTGATCTACTTTAGATGGGTTTTTATTTCTTGAAAACAGTTATTTTTCTCTTTGTTTACCTAGTATGTGGATAAACACAAATCAGGTGTTCCTAGGTAAAGTTAACCTTCTTTTAGCCTCCTGTGTTCCCTGGCATGCCTTTATTACATTGCTGCATAACACCTTACCGAAACCAACACAGATGTCTCCAAAAAAAATTTCAGAAAGAGGAAAAATCCTGGAGTGGGAGGGAAGACTTAGTGTTAGTTAGAGCCCATTAAAGTAAAGGAAAGACAAAACCAAAACATGCCCTTCTTGTTTGCTCTGACTGCACCTGATTCGGGCTGTGGGGAGCCGTAGGGAGGGTGGAAGCCTTGCATCTCTCTGTACAAGCCCTCTCTCTCTCTCACCGGGAAAGCACCCAGCCTCAGGTGTTCTAGTGCTAGAGACACTATTAGCTCTGTTCTTACAGCGAACTCAGGTCTTGGTCTGAAGTGTGGGGGGTTTGTCTTTGTTTTTGTTTAAATACGCATCTGTCTGTATGTATTTCAAAGCAGAACCGGGATCTTAGTGTGGCAGGAATAAATCACTGGGAAGTTTGCCATTACTGATGAATGGTAAAGCAGCAAAGGTAAAATGAGTTAAGATTTTTTAAAAAGGATGCACAAAAGCTTACACTTTGAATATTTCTTCATTGTCTTGCTCTTATGTTTGCTGTCGTTCTACACTTCCAAGTCTGTGCTGCTGTCCTCCTGTTGCCACAGTCAAAGCAAGAAAGTGGATCCTTTTTGGTTTAGCATTCCTATTGCAGTAACTGCGAGGATCTCTAGTTGGTATTTGTCCTTAGAGGCTGCAGAAATGCAGAGAGTTGTGCCCATTGTTTTATCGCTGTCGATCACAGCCTGCAGTCTAAGATAATACAAGTAACCAGTTTTCTCAGTTTTTATAGGCTACTCTGTCATGGTAAACACCTTTGTTTCACTAATTTGAGCAGATTGGTTTTTTTCTAGATTAAGTAGTGGGTTACATTTATGGCTGATGGTTCCGATTGGTGTTTTTCTCTGGCTTTGGTGGGGTATGGTGAGTTTGGCATTTTTAAGCTTGTTGACAGGAGGGGCAGAGTTCATGTTTCAGGGCTCATATGCCCGTGCTTTATTTTGACACACAACTATACTTTGTTCGTGAAAGCATAACCATGTACATTTATAAATTATGAGACATTAACTCATTAACTTACAAACTACACTGAAAAGAAGTCTCCTGCTTCCCTCTCAAATAAAGATAACTTTTTTAAAAATTCCCTGTTAGCTGAAAACTGACAGCTTCCCCCTTCAACTTTTAAGCACTTGTGAGCATCTGACAAGGGTCCCTCTCTGAGATATTCTGGAGCAATAAGTGGATCTCAAGGACGTTCGGTTGTTTTAGTTCCTTCTCATTAGCCACACGGGCACTCTTAAGCTGTCATAGGTTTGGACTCTGTTTTGAACAGATACAATTACTCTAGGTTGGAAATGCTTTTTCAGTGACACTCGGAGGATATAGTGCAGACTTTCAGGATACAGTAGAGGTTAACTATTGCTATATTTTGATTGTAGAACCTGAATATGTGTTTATTTTTTTTTTAACAGATTGATGACTCTTCTGCATCAATTTCTCTGGCCCAGCTTATTAAGGTATATATTCTTATCAAGTACTCAATAAAAAAAAAAAAAAAAAGGTTTTTCATCATATTTTTAAATCTTATACTGTGATCTATAGCTGGATAACTGTTGTAATGTGAACAAAACTTATTTTTTAATAATGTACGGTATTTATTTTAACTTTAAATGTGTGTGTATATTTTGTTACTATCTTGTAAGGATTAGTGCCCAATTTGGGAAGATAGAAGGGGAGTAACTTCACAGACTCAACGTAATGTTGCAGTATAACCTTCAGAACAAAAGAAGAAGTACTTCAGAAGCTGTTTGCTGTTTCTCAGATTTTTCATAATTTTGTATTGGAAACTTACACAGTTTTCATAGAAGATTTTAATTTGCTGTAAGTTGTGAACAGCCGAAAGAGAAGCGTTCCTGTACCATGCACAACTGCATGGCTATTTTCTAATTTCTAGCCACTGCATAGATACATTTGTGGAACGCTGCACAGTTTCATGTAGACAGTGGACAACACAATCTGATTTGTTTGAATGCAGGCTGTGGAAATTGTGTAAATGCACCTAATTGTTTGTAGGAACATACCATGTGTACGTGTGGCATATTAGCAGATGTGACTTTCCGAAGCTGTTGTAACGCCATGTTTTGCTATGGAACTGCTTGCATTATTTGCTCAGCGCTGTGTAACTTTGTCTGGGAAAGCACTAGTGATTGCACTGTGTGAAAAGGAGGAGTGCTAGCCAGGGAAATTACTAGTTTTTAAAGCGATAAGGATTAGAGAAGGTAAGGCCTGATCCAGAGGAGCTAGTTCTTTCTTCTGCAAATAAAGTCCGGAGTTCATTTCCAAGAAAGAGAAACCTCCTCACCCTCCCAGTGCAGAATTAAATTGTGTATATTTGGGATAAAAACAAAACAAAACAAAACCAAACCAAACAAACAAAAAACCCCACTAAACCTAATTACTTTGGAAGGTAGCCACCAAAGGAAATTAGTCTCCATTAGTGCTGTCCCTAAACATGCCCTTGGTTCTGTAAACTCATGTGAAGTTTTACTCTAAAATGTGAAACGCTGTCAAAGTGGTGTATGCATTGAATCTTTCGAGAAAATTAGTGTATCAGAAAAATGCAGGAACGTGACATAAAGCAGCTCAAAACTGTTACTTATTCTAACCTCTTCAGTGCAGACTGGTTTAGCATGGAGGCAACGTGTTGCGAAAAGTTTTCTGCATTATTATTACTATGTATGAAATGCTTTATTTGAATTTTGGTCTATTCCTAGTAATGCTTAGTCATTTTGGGACGTGTTTTGCAAACAAACTAGTAGAGTATCTGTAAAGTTTTCTGTAAATGTTAATGAAATTCATTTCATGGATGTCAACCTGGATTATGTTACGGTTGAGAAAAAACTGTGTCTATGAAACGGCCATTTAATAAACTGTTGAAACTAGTTGGTTACTTTTGCGAATGAATGCATGTAAAAACAAAACCACAAGTGGTTGATCTGAGTGCTAGGTGCTTGAAGGTCTAAATCATTTACAGTCACTCCCTTAGGCCCTGCTTGTGTCTGCACTAGTGTGTAATAAAAACATTTGGACAAATACTACTGAAAAATCTCATCTGGCTTCAATAACGTGAAGATCTCATTCTGTGTAAAGTTTCTGTGACAATTTGCATGTTAAAAAGACACAGTCAACTGGAGAAAAACTGCAGGTTGTGCTGACTGGAGTTAAATCCCTTCATATGAAGAAGTTAGTAGGCAGGGGACGTGCCGTTTGGGCTGCCTGCAGCACATGACGGTCAAATTTCTACCAAAAAGAACCTTTTCTATTGCTGAGGCATTATAAAAGGCTTGATTCCTTTTAAGGCTTCTGTGTCTGAAGCCAAATTTCAGCGAGCAACATCTTCCCCAACTCTTAAGTTGTGTGTCCTTTTAATGCTGGAAAATGTAAATAATGATACTTGCATAGAACTCTCTCAATTAAATGTACAGTGAAGACCTTCCCCTTCAAATAGTCTGGAGCATAAAAATAAGTTTTAAAATATTGGATAATAATTTTTTTTCTACACATAAGTTCAGTCCACTTGGAAGAAAATTGGACTGGTTACGCAAGTCTTTATGTAAGGCACAAACAGAGCCTAAGGTTTTGAGTGCCCAAGAATGCTCTTTTCAAGTAGGTTAAGAGGCACATAAACACCCCGTCATGGCGTAAGGACTCCCCAGAACACCTTCAGGAGAACTATATTTTATATAAGCAGCTGTTTTCATGCAACCTCAGCTAGGGTGGTGCTGCTCTTACAGGATTAGCTGAGTGGTGTTGTCTTCAGCTGTGCGGGCTTAGATGTGTTTCTGATGTGTGTGTCAAATAACTGCCTGTTAAACAGACTAGCCAATCTGGCTGAAGCCAACGCTTCCGAAGAAGACAAGATAAAAGCTATGATGATACAGTCTTGCCGACAGTATGATCCAATCAAGTAAGTGTTGACAATGTCAAATCTGTTCTCTAAAGGCTATGGAAAAATTGTAGAGATGTTTGCTTGAACAAGAGTGACACATGCATGTCTTTTTCTTTTTTCCCTCAAAAATTCATAGCTACATGAAGAAATCCTTGGGTCTACCTCCACCATCATATACTTGTTTTCGTTGCGGAAATCCTGGCCACTATATAAAGAACTGCCCAACAAATGGGGTAAGATTGTGGGGGACTTCTGGTGTTACTTAGTTTTTAATTGTTTTACCTCGGCAGTTATGTGACAAATACATGAATATTCATCTTGAGAATTGTTCCTCTTGGGGTGAAATACAGAGGTTATATGGCAATGGTGCAAAGCCCTTCAAAATCCAAGGGAAAGATGGAATTCTCAACATAAACTTTTCTTTTTTTCTAGGTCATAGACATTACATATGCCCAGAGATCTTTCTCTGTGAACTTGAATGCATATCTTCATATATTTCAATCTTGCTGGAATTTTTTTGTTAAAAAGTTCAAAACACTGCTCAAGCCTGTGGAGCATCCTGGCTATATTCATCAAGCAACCCTTAGGCTGAGTTAAAGGGGAGGATTAGAGGCTTTTGCTGCTCAAAATAATCAATGAAATGTCATTGTAAGTGTGGGTCTTAAGATGAGATATGTCCATGCATTTCGTTTCTTAATCAGGACAAAAAATTGTGAGTCTGTTCCCAGAATTAAAAAGAGCACAGGAATTCCAAGGAGTTTCATGGTGGAGGTGAAAGATCCCAATACTAAGGGTGCTATGCTGACCAAGACAGGAAAATATGCAATACCAGCTATTAATGCGTAAGTATGGAATTACTGGGACTGACCAAAAAGTGAACGAGAGAAGCCGTGCGTAAATGCCTGAGTGACAGTGCAACCAAGTTGGCCAGCATCTGTAAGTACGAGGAAGGAAGCACTGTCATTGTATCTTAACCTTCAAATCTGTGATACTTTCTAATATTAAAACAGGGCGCTCCTGCTGGTCACGACCCTGGAAGTTGGCTAAGCCGATATTTCTACAAAACATTTCAGTACTGTTTACAGTGGAGCCCTTCCCTTTGAAAGCTGCTTTTGCTTCTGGTTTATGTTTTGAAAGCTTTTGGCAAAATTTAACAAATAGCTGTTGGACTGAAATGTCCTTCCCCTCTGGCTTTTACCAAAGCCCACGTGTGAAACAGACTGACAATTTCCTGTTGCTATAAATGAAGAAAATACTACTGTGTGCTGACAAGAGTGGCTGTTTTAAAATGCACTTGGCAGCACTTCTGATTTTCTGTCATGGATCTCCTTTCAGTAGAAGCTGACAGGACTTCCATTTATAAAACATATCAATTACTCAGTGACTAACTTTACCCCGAGCCTTGCAATTTACATTCACCCTCTGGCAAAGGAGAGGTGGGATTCATGTCACCTGATTTCTAGCTGTCAAAAATGATTTTTCCAGTCTGAGCTAATTTCTTAGATGATCCAACAAATGGGAAAGTTCTGCAGAAGGAAGGTTGTTCCCCCCCTCCCTCTTCCAGTGTTGTGACTCTAGAAAAGTAGGTTAAACTAAACTGCCTGTGGTTGTGAAGGCTAATGTGGAGTGAGAATTCCATCGATCATCCTCCTTTCATAAAAGCCAAAGCTTGGAAAAGTTTTCCTTTATCCATCTTTAACTTTTTTCTTTTTCCTTCCCCACTCACCCTCCAGGGAAGCTTATGCTAGAGGAAAGAAGGAGAAGCCTCCCTTCTTACCAGAGGAGCCATCCTCTTCCTCCTCAGGTGGTGATCCTCTTCCAGAGGAGATGTTATGTCTCATTTGTAGAGATATCATGACTGACGCCGCTGTTATTCCCTGCTGTGGAAACAGTTATTGTGATGAATGTAAGTGTTCCTCCCATGTTTGTTAGCTCAAAGCACCACATCTGATCTTCTGAAAGCAGAAACAGGAGATAACAAAATTAACTTTGCTAACAGCTCTATTTAATACTTAACTATACCCTGATTGGGGAAGAACCCTGCTCATAGAAATGAAGAAAAAAAAAAGCAGAAAGCTTTTTTTCCTTTTTTATGCATCTAGTTCAACCCTCTTTACTTGCAGAGGGACAAGTATGAGAGGAGTGCTTAATTGTGCAGGTGATTACAGTATTGGATATCAAATGCATTTAGCCTGTCCACAGCCTTTTCTCTCATGCAAAACTCTATGGCCAACTCGGGTGACTTCCTGTGATCTGCAACAAATGGCTAGTTAGGCATGTGATCCACATTCTGCTCCATGGGAGAGTCGGTTAAAGCCTTCAGGACTTGAACATACTAATGACTGAGATGCGTTTTACTCATTAACCTTGAGGTTGGTGACTTCGCACTGTACTAGATAGTGGAAAAAAGACTAGTTGGAACATCAAGACACGGCCTACTCTACATCTTCAAATATTACAAGACGTGAACTGTCAAAACTGTATAGTGATTTGCTGCGTACTATCAAGTTTTTACACTGATTGAACATTTATAGATTCAGGCTCTCAATTCAAGACCATATTCACCATCAATCATTTAAGTGTTTTTATAATCGATTAGAACCAACAAAATTTCCTTAGTTTGCCTACGAACGATTCTGATGATTCTAATTATTCACAGGTATTAGAACAGCATTACTGGAATCTGAGGAACACACATGCCCAGCATGTCACCAGACAGATGTTTCTCCTGATTCTTTAATTGCCAACAAGTGCCTACGCCAGGTAACAGGAAGATTTTTACATCAACTGTTTGTAAGAAAAGTCTGTTTGTAAAAAGGTGAAAGGGAGGAAAATATTAATTTACATCTCCTTAAGCAAGGCTGAATCGAATAAAGCTAAATATATTTCTCAAATACCTCATCTGTTGTTACAGAAGCATGCAACTCTTTAGAGACAATCTGGCAAATTCAGGTCACGTGTTTGTTTAACATGATTGCCTCAGTTTGGTGTTAACACTGAAGTACTTTAAATACAGATACTCTGAGTTACCAGTCGTTAAAATCAGTGTTTAATGTGATGTGTTCATACAGCACAGAACGCTTTGGGCTGGAAGGGACCTTTAAAGATCATCCAGTCCCAACCCCTTCCCCAGCCCAGGGTGCTCCCAGCCCCATCCAACCTGGCCTTGAACCCTTCCAGGGAGGGGGCAGCCACAGCTCCTCTGGGCACCCTGGGCCAGCGCCTCACCCCCCCGCACAGGGAAGAGTTTCTGCCTTATGTCTAATCTGACTATATCTGTATGTTGGCTTATTTTAGGATTGATAGTATTTATGGGAACACAGGAGTCATTTTACTCTGTGGAGGCTTTTGTCTGTATATCTCCTGGAGGTTCCTACTTACCTTCTTGTAAATGTTTTTCTGCCTTCAGGCTGTGAACAACTTCAAAAATGGAACAGGCTACACAAAAAGGCTCCGTAAGCAGATTCAGCAGCAACAGCAGCAGCAGCAGCCGCCACCACCTCCACCGCCACTCAGGGCTCCGACACCTCCTGCTGCTCTGGTGACGGCCTCTGAACTTGCTAAATCTTCCTCTGACAATCAGCACTTTGTTGGAAGAGAACATAAGTTTTCTTTCAACATATGCAATAATACTTGTATTTTGCTGGAGCTTATTTTCCAACTGTTTGCATTTATTCACCAGGGCTATCAGGTTCCTGTACTCAAGCAGCCAGCATTACCAAGTCTTCTGGGCCCCCAAGGACAATCAATACCCACAGCTGGTAAGTAACTGCAACTTTAGAATTTCTTCTAAAAAATTGTCTTCAGATAAAGTGAATGGGATTTTTTTCTTTTTCCTCTTCCCACGCCAAAAGTTCATCCAATGAGAGCCGGTGGAATTCGCTCAGCAGCTGCCAGTCCAGGCTGGGAACTGTAAGTATTCTACAGAAATTAAACATATTATACATACTGTAACCTGCTAAACGAGGCAGTAACATGTAAGTTATAAACCAGCTGCATTATCATGAAATAAGTATGCACAGATAGTTGTGGAGAATACAAGTGGCAATTAATTTTTAAATGGCTTCATTTGGCCTAACAAAGGGGTTCTGTGCTTGCATTAAGGTTATTTAAAATAAAACTCCAGTGCGTGACTCAGAGAAGACTCTGAAAAATTAACTCTTTTTGAGGAAACCATAATTACATATCAAAATTAAATAAAATTAAAAGATCGGATGGAAAGCCAGCCTTTTGATTGCTGGCTGAATAGGGCTGAAGAAATTGATTTCCCAATAGAAATCAGCCTCCAATAGATTTTTTTTAGCAATCTAGTTAATATTGACAGAGCAAATTATTGGAGGAGGCAATGCTGTTATTTTATGACAATTTTGACTGTCTTCAGTTTAGTCATCTCAAATAGCCAAACTGTTTCCTCTCACCTGGAGAGAGAGGATTCTGTTTTATCCATTATTGCAATGTCAAGTTATTCCTTCCTTTTGGTAAGTATTTGTTGTAGAGAGATTGTAAGGGTGCACTGTGTTTATAAAATCGTAAAGATCAGTGAAAACAAAAACCAGGATCCATCTCACAGATCGTCTAAGACCTCAAATTCAGTAAGAAAGAAAATAAAAAGTCAGGGACAAGAACAGGCCAAATACATCATCACGAGGCAACAACACAGGAAACGTGTGGAAGAGGTTAGAAGTTTGAGAGCAGATGAGTTAATCCCTGTGCAGTACGTTGAAGATCAGAAGTGTGAAGTATTAAGTGTATCAAGGAGTGGCAGAGGAGCAGTGGGCACTTGGCTCGTGGGAGATGGGAGTCTCTTTTAAGCACAGGCAGACTCCATCCACAGTTGCAAAGCTGAGTATACGGAGAGAAGACTGAGGGAGCTGCTGGGGGTGAGGGTGTGGAAGGAAGTATGAGGATCGAGAAGTGAGTGTAGTCTCAAATGAACGGAAAGCAGGGAGGGAAAGTGCTCAAGGTGAGAACAAGAAGTGCTTGCCACCGTGCTCCTGCTTCGTTCCTTCACTCTTTCAAATCAGAGCAGAATGTAACAAACAGTGATACGTGTTTTGGGGTTTCTTTAGAAGTCCAGACTGAGGACGCCACACAGGGAACATATCCAAAGGACTCAGACCCCAACAGTACCAGCACCAACACCGGTCTTTGTGCCTGTGCCTACACCTCCCTTGCACCCTCCACCACCCCACTGCACCTCCTCTCCCACCGCGGGTACCACCACCACCACCATTTCCTCCTCATTACACACCTGGTCAGCCCCCATCTGCTGAGTGCACTGTCCTCCCTCCAGGATATCCCCCAGCTCCTGTAAACATGTCATCAGCTTGGGTGACAACAGCAGCACCAGCGGCTCATTCAAATCCCACCCCAACGACACGAGCACCTCCTTTACAGAATCACAGAATCACTGAGATTGGAAAAGGCCTTTAAGATCATCAAGTCCAACCGTTAGCCCAACACTGCCAAGCCCACCACTAAACCACATCCCCAAGCACCACATCTACACGTCTCTTAAATATCTCCAGGGATGGTGACTCTACCACTCCCCTGGTCAGCCTGTTCTAATGCTCAACAACCCTTTTGTTGAAGAAATTTTTCTTAATATGGATCCAAATCTCCCCTGGAGCAACTTGAGGCCATTTCCTCTTGTCCTATCCCTTGTTAGCTGGGAAAAGACACTGACACTCATCTCGCTGCAACCTCCTTTCAGGTAGTTGTAGAGGGTGATGAGGTCTCCCCTCGGCCTCCTTTCCTCCAGGCTAAGCAACCCCCAGTTCCCTCAGCCACTCCTCACAAGACTTGTTCTCTAGAGCCTCCACATCTTCACTGCCCTTCTCTGGACACGCTCCAGCACCTCGATGTCTTTCTGGCAGTGAGGGGCCCAAAGCTGAACACAGTATTGGAGGTGCAGCCTCACCGGGGCCGAGTGCAGGGGGACAGTCACTGCCCTGGTCCTGCTGGGATTCCTGACACCAGCCAGGCTGCTCTCGGCCTCCCTTCTCTACGGAGGAGTTTTCCAGAGAACAACAGAGACTTAAAGTGGAGTAGGCATTTAGCTCAATGAAGTTGTGTTGGTTTTCGTGTTTATATTTTGATAGTGTATTGCACTGCAGTTACACTGCATCTGACATGAGCAAAAATGGCATTGTGTTCCTTCCAATATACTTTCTCATTGCAGATGGCAAATGTGCAAAACTAAAACAAGACAAATGTAATTCTAAAACTTTCCCTAAGCCTTGTAGGAATTCTAAACTGCTTTTGCTTACATAGGATGTCCACCTTTTGTATTTGCTTGCAGTATACATTTTCTCATCCCTGTCTGTAATGGAGCAGCAGATTGGCTAGAAGAATCAGGAGGAGATCCACTCCACCTCTCTCTCGTTAGGTGGACTGGGTGATTCAAGGGATTAGCAGTGATAGGAGTTCCATACGTAGGTTAGTAGCTCCAATATGGTAGAGATTACAGTTGACCGACAGCGATAATTTGGCAGCAGTTCTTCCAGAGCAGGTGTGTCTTTCGGTAAAGCTTCTCTGCAGTGACGTCCTTCACCTCCTGACAGCTGTGAGGAGGCCAGAAACTGAATAGGTGCAGCTGCTGGATTTTGTGTGTCTCCCTGCTCTGATTGTAACCATTACCACAAAGCGCTTCGGAGGAGATATGGGAGAGAAATTGTCTTCATTTCCACTTTTGTTTATCTCATCTGGATACGTGGAGAGATTTTAACCTGGACTGCCAGCTGGTGGCTTTCACTAGTAATTTGTTGACATTTTAATTTTTTTCTTAGGAACTGAAAGGTCAGACTTGTTTGTAGAGAAATCTTAAATTGGTAAAGGACTTTGAGAGGAGGCATGATGCTCATGAACATATGTGGAATAATGTGAAATGGCTCTTTAAAAAATAACAAAACTTGTGAAGAAGAAACTCAGGGTAGCTGATGTTTTTTATCCCCAGAATTCACTCAGGCAGGAGTCTGAATAGCTCTCTCTTAGTACTGCTGTCAGTATCTTTCCTTGAGTAATGGCCTCATGGCATATTACTAGATTCTGAGTTTAACAGCTTTTAGATATGCCTTTTCCTGAAATGCGGGCACTATCCTTGGTTAGAGCTAGAGCTATGTGCAAAAATTTGCTAGGGCATCTGTCTAGAAGTCCTGTATGTAAGATTGCAGCACAAGTACTTTGCATCCTGTACAAGGTCCCAAATAAATAAGTAGGGAAGTTAAACAGACTAAGCTGACACTGTAAAATGGAGCTTTACTGTCTTCAGGTTAAATCATGTTTTCTTGATATTCGTTACAGTGCTGTAGCCATTAAAACTTGCTCTTTCTGCATCTTACTGCAAGAAAAATGATTTGCACCACAGGTGGTTGTGGAGTAGTGAAAATGTACACATAGCAGTAGAAGCCAGTAACACCCCCTTAAATCAGTCAATAGCTCTGGTAGTTCACGTGATAGAAGTAAGTGGAAATAGATGTACCCTTCCTGTATATTTTCACACTAACAAAGCAGCAGTTCTGTCTTGTAAGTGGAAACCTTTGCGTGTTGCCAAATTCTTCCGTGTGAAGTAGCATTATGTCAGCATCTGAAAGAAGCTTTGACATGAGCCTATGGAAAGGAAAAAAAGCCAAACCAAATTTGGGAGGGGAAAAAATTGGGGAGAGTTACTCTTTTGAGTTAATTTCATTTATTTTTACTGTGTTGTGTCTTTCTTAAGGTCCAAGTTTCCCTGCAGTGCTTCATCTTACAGTAGAAGTTTGTATAGCTACTCCGAGGCAAGATCGGGTTCTTCCCGCACTCGCTCCTACTCTCGATCATTTCGTCGTTCCCGTTCTCGTTCCTACTCGCGATCGCCACCCTACCCAGGAAGAGGCAAAGGGAGGAGGCACAACCATCGTTCTAGGTCAAGGCCACGTGGTTATGACCAAGGGTAAAGGTCAAGATCACCCACATCCAGAAGGTCCCATTCACGGTCAAGGTCTCCAGTATTTAAAGGCCAGCCTCCCCCTAAACTTAGAAGGAGAGAGGGAGCATTTTAACAGATATACAGAGCTCCACCATATGATATGAAAGCTTCTTATGGCAGATCTGTTGGCTTTAGCGATCCATTTGACAAAGGACTGACGCAGAGAATGGGAAAGGAACTATAGGGAAAAATTTTACAAGGGCTGTGCTGTTGACACTCAAACTTGACCTCCAGTAAACAGAGAGGCCCACCTGGGACGAGATGGGAGGGCTCACCAAATGCTCGGGAATGTAGGGAGAATTATTCTGGTGGGCAGAGCTACCAAAGTCATAATAGAGCTGGAAATTACGCTGAAAAACCTTTTGGAAGAGAGAGCGATGGCATCAAAGACCCTACAAAATCCAAAGAGAAGGCGGTGGAAAAGCCACTGGAAGATGACGAAGGAAAGAAACATAAAAATTACCAGAAGAGAGGACAATGGGAGGAGAATTAAGGATTTCCCAGTCCTGAGTGGTATGGGAGGTGGGAGACAACCAAGGGAACCAGTTACAGCAGCAGATGGTAAAACGAACTCTCTGTTCCCAAGCAGAGATGATGCCACCCCTGTGAGAGATAAGTTATGGAAGCAGATGCTGTTGCTTTCAGACCGACCTCTGAAAAGGAGAAAAAAGAGAATAATAAGCCATAAGAGAGAAGAATAAGCCAAACCCAAAAATTGAAGCGACAGAGGAGAAAGTAGAAGTGGCCGTTCCTCCCAAGAAAGACAACATAGTAACTCCAGCTCCAGTTCCCAAGAGCAGGTGGACACCGATCATGAAAAATCTCCTTGACAGGAACCTCCTGTGAAAAAAGTGGAGGAGTAGACAACCTTAATTCCTTTATGTTCTTAATTCATCTTCATATGATCTCTTGTCAGGCATTTTTGAACTTGTGCATGCTCTTTATTTTGAAGAGAAGCAAACAGCATCATTTCTCTTTTCTCGGTATTTAGCTACAGCTGCCAACCTTTCCAGAGCAGAGTTATGCTGTAAAACTTATTTATTTTGAGGGGAGAGCAAGAGCAATCTCAGGAAAAGATCTGCCCTGTAACAGTCACATTAAGAAGAAGTGGTAATGACTGCAAATGTGACTTTCAAGTAACTCAGCTGGGCTAATAGATGTTCAGATAAGCTTACTGCCCTCAGACCAAAATCTTAATTGGAACGGATAATTAAATGGGCAGCTTGCTCTCTAGATTTCTTATTTGTGAATTCATAAGCACTGATTATGTATTCATGTAGTGGTTTGTGTAGTCCAACATGTTTGTTAATTCTGACTTGGGGAGTTGCTCTAATTAGATAGCACTTGGTCAGTGCTGTTTTGGTTCTAATTTGATTTGAGTTTATAATGGCTTTAATCTTCCTAATACAAGTCTTGGGTTTTTTGTTGTTACATTTAATACAAATATGAAGACATGACTTCAAACAATAAACAACATGTGATAGAAAGAAACCTTATTCGGTATGTCTTTAATTAGATGTGTTGTATATTACAAGCCATGACAGGTCACTGGAAAATAACTTGATTGGTCAGTCCAGTAGACAGCTCCCTTTTACGTTTGTTTTCTTTCTCGTATTGGATGCATCAAAAAACTCAAGAAATTAAGGAAAAAGGCTTGAAAGGTAAAAATAAAAAGAGGCGATCGTTATTAAAGGCCTAAAACTAAGAAAATCGGTGTCTTTCATGAAGAAAGAGCAGAAGGTGGCTGACAAACTCAGGATGCAGCAAGTATATTCCTTCTCCATGTTTTCAGGTTTCTCAGTCTTTGAAATGAGGCTTGAAAGGACTCTATGGTTTTTTGCCTCCTTCAGCTCCAAAGTAAGCTTTTTATGACTTCATCATAACATTGCTGCCATACATCTTTGAAGGACGAAGGATTAAGGGTGAACAGTGAATGAGTATTTTTTCAGGAGTGGGGTGGTGGGTGGGCGTTGAAGGGAAGAGCTTTTAAGAGAAAGCATTTAAAACTGACCTCTTTATGGATTATTATCCAAGCTGACATAAAACCTAACTTGGAGGAAATCATACACATGCTGCACCCACAATCCCCTTTGCACTAAACTCCAGAGGAGAAAGGAGTCCCTGCTTCAACAGCCGTACAGCTCAGGCAGGTGCTACCAGGGGTCCTCCTGCCCCTCCTTCAGGAGGAGCAGCCCCCCACGGCTTCCACTGGCGCAGGTGTCCATGTGGATGCTCCAAAGCAGGCCTTGGTTCTGCTGTGCAAAAAGGACAAGGCTAAACAAGTTGAATTCCATGAGTTTGTCTTTAAGAATATCTTTAATTCATTTCCTATCCCTTCTGTTATATAGCAGAACACAAGAATGACACAGCAGATGAGAAACTGGCTTGGATGTAATTCAAGTCTTAAAGTGATTAAAAGAAAAAAACCCAAAATAAAGCAACAAAGAAAGAGAGAAAGTGAGGATTTAAAAGACGTGACTCGCTGCCCAGATGTTGTTCATTTCTATCAGTTATCAGTATTTCTGTAAAGCTTGTGGCTGGGGATTGGGACATTCTTGCTAACCCTGGTTTTAAGGCTGCAGTGACATAATACGCAATTCAAGCAAATCCAGCCAAGGTGCTCTCAGGAGCAGCAGTCATGTGCGTTACAGAGCACCTCTATCCCGTGCTGAACAAGGGTGGGGTAAGACAGAACTCCCTTTGGGAAATGCACTCGCACCTTGTTGAAAATGCTGAATGCAAGACCTCGCTAAATTAGCTGCTGGTCTCACTCAAGGCTGAGCAGCTGTCACCTGCCTCTGTGAACACGAAAAATGAAGTCAATGGGGTGGGCTCAGCACACTGCAGAAGAGAACGAGCACTTCAGGCTGAACCTCAGCAAGACATGAGGCACTGAAAACAGATTCTTCAGTGATGCCCATTACCAGAGAGAGCTGCAGGAGTTTCAGCACGTCTCGTGGAGAACGAACGCTCTGTGGGTGCAGGCATGCTGGTATCAGGAAGGAAAGGTGGGCTGTAATGGTTTAATGGTCTTTATTAAGTTAAAAAGGGGAAGCCTAGCAAGGCAGAGCAAAGCTTCGAGTCACCAGTGCCTGGGGAACTGCTTCACCAAGGAGGTGACGCCAAGCACACTCTCGGTGGTCTCGGTCCAGCCGGGATCAGGGCGACGCGCTGAATAATGACAAATTCTCTTCAGTTTGTGAAGGGGGAGCACTGCCAAGAGGCAATGCTGCCATCCTGTATGCAATCCCCCAACTTATTACCTCCTGTTTACATCTTTCATTTCTGTATTTCCCATCCTACCGACCTTCAGATCTAGCCTCTTTACTGGCCACTCGCTCATCCCACGCTCCACAGCTGCTGTTCCGACCTGCAGCTTCTCAGGCTCGCAACAGAGTGTTCCGCACTCTTGCTGCATTTACCCACAACCATCCTTCTAGTCTGAGGGTCAGTTTACAGTTTTGCTAACCACCAATAATTCATTCCCACATATCCCCCTTCCTTGTTTTAGAATTTTATTTTCAAGGTGATTACTGCCTTCCACACTGTGGACAGGAGGCTTCATATTCATCGCAGGATGGCAAGTCGGCTGATTTGGTTGAAATAGGGGCCAAATAAGTGAAAGAAGTCATTGAAATCTGTCACAGTTTGATGCGGAAGTCTCAGACACAACATACACGATCAATGTGATCAAGTTAATGCCACTTTATTAAAGGATACACAGCGATTTATACACTAGCACAAAGCACACGCGTTGCGTTCTGGTTGCTAATAGGTTAAAGCTGCTTGTTCACACGCCTTGCTCTGCCCTACCTACATTCTGGTTTTACCTCTTGTTATCTTGCTTTTACATTCCAACCTCCTTACCTCTTTGCAACATAGGCAGTTTCTCAAAACCCCAACTTCCTTATCTCTTTCAACCTTGCATACGTCCTTCACAACAGCTGCAGTTGTGAGGCCCCTCGGTCTGCATCGCTCATAATACGCCTATTTGCTTCCAGCTACTCCACAGAACTCTGTGCTTCCAGGGGACAATAAACGACCAAGAGAAACCTATTCCTGCAAGCACCAGCTTGGGGCAGGCTGCTCTGTCACTGGAGAGGTGAGAAGAGCCGAGAAGTGCCTGGTTTGGGGTGGGAAGTGCCTGGGCGAGGGGAACCCCAAAGTTAGCTGAGCTGCGTGACCATGCAGGGTAAGGACTTAAACCAGGGGGGTTGTGGTGCACAGCCAGTGATCACGGATTGGAGCAGAGACATGCAGGCAAAGCAGAGAGGAGGCTGGTCTGGAACGGCATTTACAGCTCCGTTGCTTGGCCATCCAAGTGACAGGGTGATGATGGGACCACAAAGCAGCATCCAGAGGGTGACAGCAAAGACAACTACAAAAAAGGAATTCATGTTCATGGTCTTCATTGTGCAGGTATGATTTGGGGAAAGGCAAAGCTCACCTGGAGTTGGTTGCAAGGAAAGTCAAGAGCAAAATGAAGAGCTTCGGTTGCTCGAGAGAGACCAAGGCTGAACGAGGAAAATGCAGGGCTGCTGCTGAATGGGGAGGACGAGTGAATAACAGCAGCCAGGGGTGGGGCTGAGGGACTCAGTTTGTCATTACTGAAAAGGTCTCCAGGCCTGCGTGCAAGATGGTCAGGGGTTAGAGCACCTGGCCTGTGAGCAGAGGCCAAGAGGCCATGAGGGAAGGCGGAGGACAATCTCATCACAGCTCACCTTTCCTCTGAGAATATTCCTGTTCATGGAGAATAAAGAGCCAGGCTCTCTGCCGTGGTGCATGCTGGAAGCACAAAAACAATGGGCAGAAGGTGCAAGAGGAGAGGTTCAGCCTAGACATAAGGAAAAACTTCTTCCCCATCAGCTCCATCAAGTGTTGGAGCAGGTTACCCAGATAGGCTGTGCAGTCTCTGTCCTGGGAGGTTTTCAAAATCCAGATCGTTCAAGATCGAGCTGAAACACCTGGCTGTTTTTAATAAAATGGCAATGTTTTCCCACCATGGCAGAATGTGGAAACTTCCAGGAAGTGCATTAATCATAGGAGAAGAAATACTGATCTCCTTCTGCCCTTGCATTGCCCCTCCTCTAGTACACTATGTGTTTAATCTCCGTCCCCTTTCAGGTGTTCCCACCTCTCCTTGATTAAGTGACCATGGCTAAGGGCATCCTGTCAGCACACAAGCCCTCCCTCTTGGCTCTCCAGATTTCCCCCTCACTCTTTGGCTGATTCAGACACCTCTCAACTATCTAGTTCGCTGCTTTCAGCTTCAGGGAATTAGACATTTGCCTTATCTCTGAGAATTCTAATCAACTCTAGAGTCAGCTCCTTCATTATGTTTATATCTCTGCATTCCTAACCATCTGTCTAAAGCAGTTCATGTACATACATGTCTTGTGAGTGGTGGACCTCATTAGATACAACTTGGACTTGGCATACAGTTAGGCAGAGTTTTAAAGCTTATTGAATCACATCAGCTGTAACTTCTGTTTATGGCAATGAGGGGAATTCTTCCTGTGCCTGTGTGCAGCCAGTTTTCTGAGGAAAGCAGGTGGGAATTGGGGCCAAGGAGCTGTAACAGCCAGCTGCAGGCTTCAGTGGAGAAGTCTGATGTCAGGAAAAGTGATGCAAGGCTCAGGGGGCTGATCAGAGAAATGAAGGGGCTGGGGAGGTGAGGAGCAAGGTTGTCCATAGAGAGCCTGGCCTCAAGGGACTGCTTTTCCTACCTGCCCATATCAGCCTAGCGACCGTCTGCATCACTATCACTTGGAGAACGCTGCTATCACTTCTTCTGTAAACAAACCTACAAAAAATTACAATATTACCTTAAAAATACAATATTACCTTTTATCTGAAAGGCTCATCTGAACTCTTCCTCTTTAACTACTGTCCTGAAACCTCTACAACTTAGCTGCAGAAGTCTTGAAGATTTAAGAAAATTTTGGACAGAGATAAGGCACCTGAGGGCTCTCTGCCTTGTAACGAGCCCCGTGGTGGTTTTGGTGCCGAGCGTGTGGATGTGCAAGGCTGAGAGGAGCTTGCACAAACTGCTCAAAGAGTCGGAGTCAGCAGCAAAAGTTCAAGTTTCTTGGAGTATTCCCAACATTACCAACAGAGGCTCGCCATGGACTCGTCAGAGCAGGAAATTGCAGGCAGTGATGCCAGTCAAAGGCAACGTGCTGGTGGCTCTGATGCAGTGTAAAGCCTTGGTGTGTTTTATCAAGCCAAATGCCAAGCCCTGACCCCAGCCCCTCAGAAGAGAGATCCTGTCCATCGCATGAGTCTCAGGCCTCTTCCTGGGATGTGTTTCAGGGGGTGAGGCCAAGTGAGGGACAACAGTACGGCACCTCCTGTGCGAGGAGACAACGTGGCCTTGGTGACATGAGGACAAGGCATCTCCTCGTAGGCCGTGGTGGCAGAGACATCAGCCACAGCCAGGGGCACAAAGACCTCTGTTCTGTCAGGGCCTTTCAGCCTTGCCAGTACCCTTGGCCACCTCCATGAGGGTCTGTCCTCCACTGTCCCAGGCCTGCGCCTCTTCCCCTGCGGGCTGTAGACACCCAACACACCTCCTCACCGTGTTCTCACCCCCCTGGCATGTCCTTACCCTCACTGACAACTCCCCATCCCCACTGGCTGTTCCTTCAAACAGAAAATCATGGGCTAACCCAGAGTGACCTGTCGTGCCAAAGCACTACCCTTCAGGTGACTTCTCTTCCTCCTCATATCCATCTGGACATCCAAAACTGCGTTTTCTTGTAGTTTGCTTTTCTTGTGCTCCTTCCCACTACCAAAAAACATGCAATCATCTCTGAAAGTACCCGTCAAGCTTTCTCACGGTACTGCTACACTTCCCTGAGCCTCCACTTCACCAGGCCAATGAAGCCCCCCACCTCAGCCTTTCCACACATGGCCCCTAACCCCATCTTGGCAGACCTCCTATGGGCCCGCTCCACCCCCTCCCCACTCCTCCAGAGCAGGGAGCCCCACATGAGGACACACCATTCCAGATGTGGCCCCAGCAGTGCTGAGTCGGGGGGGTGGGGTGATAACTCCCACTGTCTGGGTGCCCACGCTCCTCCCAGTGCAGCCCAGTATGCACATGGCCATATTCACGGTTAGCACCACTGCCCCGTGTGGCGTCCTTCGTAACGCCCAGGCCCTTCTCCTTAAGGTCGCTCCTCATCCCCTTCAGGTCCAAGCCTGCATTGATCTACAGGGTTGTTTTACCCCCTAATGTAGATGATCAGAAGATCAGAAGGAGAAGATCCCTTCTCCTTGGAAAACTTCTCGAGGTTTCTGTTGGCCAAATCCCTGAGTTTCTCAAGGTCCGCCTGGACTGATGCTCCACTGTGTCAGCTCTTGGTCTGTGCGTGCACGTGACTCACCTGACTGGTGGTGTCACTAGCAGCGTCACAGCACGGGGAATTGAAGTAAGGATATGACAGATAATAAGGAGGAGATTCTAGTTAAAGTAAATTGCATGCCAAGATAGGTATTACAATGGTGACCATTCCAGAAATGCCAAATCAGGGTACAAAACAAGCATGGACATGCTGGAGAGAGTCCAACAAAGGGTCGTGAAGATGATGAAGGGACTGGAGCATGTCTCCTATGAGAAGGGGTTGCGAGACCTGTGACTGTCCAGCCTGGAGAGACATGTCCATTTCTGGAAAGGGGGGATGGAAAGCCCTGCTGGGCATATCTGTCCCCCTTGAATCCAGGTCCTTGTGCAAGGCTCAGGTGGTGGAGCTCGTCTGGTGCCCACATTTGTCTGAGGGATGGCTGCTCAGTGCCATTCCCAAGCAGGGAGTGAGAGATTTGGTGCCGGGACAAGTCCTGCCCAAGGCAGGTTGCAGCTCACAGCTGTGGTGTCTCAAGTCACTGACCCATGGATGGGGCCTGTGAGAAATAAAAGCCCACAGATGTCAATCACCACAAGTAACGTGGCTGACATGATGCCAAGATGCCAACATGGAAGTTTCCAGCCCATACACTATGTTCAGGAGAAGAAATCCTGACCTTCCTCTGCATTGACCCTCACTAATCGTTCACATCGATCCACATGTCCCTGCTTAAACTGACCCCTTCTCAACTTTCTGCAGCCTGCCAGATACTCCCCTTAGCCAAATCCTTGATTATGTTCCTACCTGTCCTTTCCCATGTATATCACTTGGGATTTTCCACTAAGGTTACTGACTGTGGGAAGTGTCTGGTGATAGGAATGGCACGGTGTGTGGGAACTGGGCAGGGGGGACACGACGGACAACAGAGCTTACACACACAGGATCGTACAGAAAGGATCTTACTTTTCCCACATATTCAGACTTCATCGGAGTCACTCTGGATCAAGAGGAATTGGGGGAGGCTGGTAACTCTTGTTCTGGAAGCAGAAACAGAAGGAAAACTGGTAAAAGCAGATATCTTGTTCTATTGTTACTTCTTACAGAAATCTTCTGTTTGGTTACACTCCTGGAGTCTCCCAAATCAGCCACACAAGACCTGAAGAATTAGGGAGAATTATGCAGGGAGCCTTGGATTGTTAGGGCATTTTGCATGATAATGAGCTCTCTGGTGCCAAGTTCCTGAACTGCAGATACTGAGAGAATGAACCAGCTTATATTGGGTTTAAAAGGCAATTTTTTTTTTTTTTTTTTTTTGGGGGGGGGGGGGGCAGGGAGAGGGTGGGGGGGGACCGGCACAGAGGTGGCTTCTGTAAAAAGATGCCAGAAGCTGCCCCCATATCCATCAGAGCCAGTTCCAGCCGGCTCCAAGGTGGACCCACAGCTGGCCAAGGCTGAGCCCATCAATGACAGTGGTAGCACCTCTGTGATAACATCATTAAGCAAGGGGGGGGAAATGTTGTGCTATAGCAGCTGAGGGAGAAGAGTGAGAATATGTGAGAGGAACAACTCTGCAGCACCAAGGTCAGTGAAGAAGGAGGTGAAGGAGCTGCTCCAGGTGCCGGAGCAGAGATTTCCCTGCAGCCCATAGTGAAGACCATGGCGAGGCAGGTTGTTCCCCCATGAGCCCCTAGAGGTCTACAGTGGAGCAGACACCCACCTACAGCCCTTGGAAGACCCTATGCCAGACAAGATGGGTGTCCCTCAAATGAGACCGTGGCACCATGAAGAGCCCGCACCAGAGCAGGCTCCTGGCAGGAC